CAATGCACAGAGAAAAAAAAATCTAGAGTTTAAGGGATGAAGCTCAAGTAAAGTGTTGAAGGAAAAATTATGAAGCGGATGCGCCGTGGGCCGTCTTCGGAAAAGCGCTCGAGACAATGAAAGTGCTCGTTTGCAAACAAAAAGGCTAGGCGTCAGGTCCAACAAGCGGAACTAGTCGTTCCAACACCAGAGGCCAGCGGTTGCAAATTCTCAGGAAGCTTTCAGACGATTCTTGGACAGCGCTTAGTGAATTATGCAGAGAACGGAAGGGGCTAAGCCGCGTGAAGACCAGAGAGCTGTAAATGCATAAATTCAGCCTTCGAGATGCGGACTGACTCTGCTGGACATATTTAACCAAAAATCACGGAAATAGTATGTGTATATAGTCTTGACATGTTCAAGGACCGTCGAGGAGTTTCCCGGTCACAAATCAGGTCAAGTTCGCTCTTGAAATCATAGTGTCATTTAGCTCATCGTTTAGTTGCGAAATATTTTTGTTGGGAGAAAAATTTGTGAGGTTGTCCGTTCGCAACCCAGAAATCAAAATACAAATATGTTTCGTCAAGAGTACCACACGAGCAGTTCCATCTATGCCCTTGAATTTAACCAAAAACGAGTTGTTCAAGGGCTTATACTCTCTACTCGCTAGATTCTGAAAATAAATGTGAAACTTAGAAGCGTTAAATTGTAAATTCTGGATTCACTAAAAATGTTTTAAAAAATTGTGAAATATGGCAGGAAGTTGGGCCATGAAGAATTCAAGGAAGCAGAATTCCCGCCAAATATCCCCGTAAAACCTCAGAACTGTGAAACTCTCGAAATTTTTGGTGCCTTTTTGATGTCCAGGCTTTACTACAAATTGGATCGCCTTACCCCTAACGGACGATGTCCAGGGAAATTCCTCAAGTAAACTGAGCAGCCGACTTTGAAAACGACTACTGGATTAGAGTAGTGAGTAAACTTGGACAGTTTACCGCTAAATTCTCCAGAAATTAATTATGGACAGGGATATCCGAGTAGATTTAGTTCACAATAACTCCCTGCATGGACTGTGTGCATTTTTTGAAAAAGTGCTGAAATGTGCTACAAAGCATCAGAAAAAGTGAAAATCAAAAAGTCGAGGTGCTTCTGTGATTCGAGGAGCTTCCTTATGGTACGAAGCCATCCACGCTCGTACAAACATCAACATCAAACATAGGATTAGTTTTCGCCGGAATTTGCAGGACACCGGATCCGGTGCAGCCGGTTTGCCACTCTATACCCTGGTGCGAAGAGCAGCTTTTGTATAGTGCATTCCGGACAAATGACCGCGAAAAAAAAGGTAAAAATGACCGATGTTTTTTGTGGATCAAAGACGTACATCCACGCTCAAACTTGTAAATGGAAATTGCCCATTATATGAGATGCATACGTGAACTTGTGAAAAACACTGCCAATGGCGACGATCGTTGCAAATTTGCGGGAATCGAAGAAAGTTTGTCGAGCCTGAAGGTCGGCCTCGATTCGAGAGGATACGAGGAGGACGTTGGCGTATTTGCTAGCCTTCCTCGCCCCCGACCCGCCCCATCACGGAGCAAACCTCGATTTGATCGCTGCTCCTCTGAAGAAACATCCCCACATCACGAAAATCCGCTAGCACTGTTGTTCTGCTCATTAGTGTCGATTTAAGGATCTCTTGCAGAATCGCCTCTCCCTGAAACGTGAACCGCAAGGAGAACTATCGTGACAAACGCTTATACAGCAGTTGAGAAAAACAAAACGGTGTCTTGAGAGAATCTGGAAAATTTTTCAAGTTTGGGTTTTGTTTAATAGCAGTACAGTGTTTCTGCTGGCTCACGAATACTACTACCGGTGAAAGTTCAGCAGTAAGCAGTACATCGTTGGCCAAATGATCTGACGGATGGTAAGTCTTTTAAAAGGAGAAGAATTTGGATTACAGTAGCAGGTTCCAAAAAAGAAACTTTTGGGATTGTTTTGAAAAATGCTTCAAACATACTTTTCTTCGCGATGCTTTAGCATCTGCTCGCTTGAAGTAAAACTGTTTCTGTTACCGCGATTATAAAATAAAGACACGTCACTGGGAGTGATTATCCATGATCGATGCCCACTCTAGATCAGTTGATGTGTAGAGTCATATCGGGGAAAATTCGATGAAAAAAGAATAACATTTCAAAGAAACATGTTCGCTGTAGCCCAAGGCGCGACTTCTCCAAAAAAATGTAGTAGAAATTTTATTACTACAAAAGCACATAATTTAGATAGCCAGTTGTAAGATTTGTCTGTCGATCACTTTCTTCTCAGCTGAACGTCGGCACAGAGCGCATGGAATATGAGCTCATCTGACAGTTGAACTTTGCCGATACACAGGCGTTGCCAATCGTTCTTGCCTCCTAAAGACGACTGGTAAAATAGTTGTGACCTGAGAAGTTATGATTTTAGAACTGTGGAACTTAGGCTTTGGTTGCAGTCATCTTATCGCTTCATTCCTAAAAGATACCCTCATGAGAAATTTAAAAAAAATGTTCTACGAGTTTCAAAAAAGCAGTAACGGTGCAGCAAGGACGCCGCAAAAACTCATAGTGAGAGAATTTCTAGCCAAATCTCAAAATCTCACCTAATACTGGTGTTTTCAGGACCTGCCCCCCCCCCCTAAAAAGTTTCTTCAGCGTATTTTATCGGCCTATCACTGAAGTAGCAAGAAGTTTAGTATTCCACGGAACTTTGAGGAGCATAACGGCGTTGAATTTAGATCTGGTGCCAGCTCAAGATTTACCGAAATTTATGATGTGGGGCTTTAGAGGAAGGAATTGCGTGATTCTAATGTTAATCTCGGAGATTTTCCGTTAAACTGCAGTAATTCGTGGCAAAAATATAAGACAAAAACAATCGAATTATTAGAACGTCAAATTTTGCTGTTAAAGCAAACTCATTTTAGAATGTTCCGAGCCTAAATTTATCAGTAAATAGAAAAAAACGATGTTATTAAAATGGAATGAATAAGGCTTACAGAATTTTTACAAATCTGTTCGCACGAAGTCATTTCTAATGATAATGAAGTTGGTGGAAACTTTGCCACGCAGAAACTGCTACTTACACAAACCGTGAATTCGAATCCTAAAAATATGTAGTCCGAAGGCGAGGTTCATGAAAGTTATGGCAAATATTCACTTGTTTAAAACCAAGATATTATTTATGAAATAACATGGTGGTGAATATGTGAAAAACATTTGAATAAGTAAAAATGTCGTTGGGCAAGCGCTAATCTTCTCCGCTGACCGTTCGTTCCGATCCTGAGGAAGGTACTGAAATTGACTCTGGTTCAGCATAGAACTTTCAACCAACTTCCACCAGCTTACTCACCTCGGCAAGGGAAGGGGACGTTACGACCAGTGTCGCAGCAGTGAACCCCAAACACTGCGAATCTTAACTTCTCCCTCAACCGAGACTCGAACCGGTGACTGTTAGACTGGAGACCTGACCCTCTGCCATCTGAGCCATTCCGCACGTAAACCCCACAAAAAAATTTGATCTATTAGTGAGTACAGCGCTTTGTTGCAGATCCGTGACATATCAATCACAACTTCGGCAGGTGAAAATGTGTCGAATGGCTCAGTAGGTAGAGTGTTGGAATGCAATTCCAACACTTGCTGGTTCGAATCGCAGCTAATGTCAAAGTTGAAGAGAGTATTTGTCATTCACGGATATGAGTGTATGGTTGTAAGCGGCGGTATTCGGGACGGTATCCACTTTTCTTTGCGAGGTTTTTGTAGTAATCGAAAAATGAAGCCTTCGTTTCTCCTCACGCAAGTGCTGGATAGCTCAGCAGGTTGCATGTTGGACTACCATATTGAGGGTTTCTGGTTCGACTCCTGCATCATTCTGGTTCGACTCCTGCATCAATCTTGTTATGATCCGCTGTTTCTAGGTTTCATAGATAAATTTAATTTTGGGCAAGAATATGCTACTTTTCAAAAAAAGGTGTTGTTGAGTCGACGTTCAACTTCTCCGGTCACCGCTCGTTCCAGTCTTGACGAAGGCACTGAAACTGACATTGGTTTAGCTTCTGTATCAAGAACTTCCAACCGACTTTTACCAGCTTACTCACCTCGGCAAGGGAAGGGGACGTTACGACCAGTGTCGCAGCAGTGAACCCCAAACACTGCAAATCTTAACTTCTCCCTCAGCCGAGACTTGAACCGGTGCCTGTTAGACTGAAAGTTTGACACTCAGCCAACTGAGCCAATCAGCACGTACGCACATAAAAAATTTGATCTATTGGAGATTCCAGTGTCTTCGCTGCAAAGCCATCACTGATCAATCGCAACTTCCATCAAGTGATCGTGTGCCGGATAGCTCAGTCGGTAGAGTGTTGAAAGACAATTCCAACACTTGCTGGTTCGAATCGCAGCTGATGTCAAAGTTGAAAAAAGTGTTTGTCATTCACGTATATGAATGCTTGGTTCTGCGTGCGGGATTTGGAACGGCATCTGCTTTTGTTTGTGGGGTTTTGTAGAGGTAATCGAAAAATGAAACTTTTGTTGCTCTTCGCGCAAGTGCTTGATAGCTCAACAGGCAGCACGTTGGGCTACCACACTGAGGGTTGCTGGTTCGAATCCTGCAGCCGCCTTATTACGCTTGACTGTTGCTAGCTTTCATAGTTAAAATACCCACTTTTTAAAAAAGAATTTTAATGTTTCTAGTTTCGGTCCGCGTTAGTCGCTGAGAATG